GTCGATCTGTGAAGAGTATTTGCCTTCGTTGAATATTGCCAAGCCTTACAAGCAATTAATCGAGATTGTGATTGCCACACGTTTTCGCCATCATAGATAGTCTGGCGGACTCAACCGCTCGCTGTCTTGATTAAAAAAAAAAGATATCCACATGGTTCTGGGTGAAGAACTGCGCTCATTTGTTACTTATTCTCCTGGCGGTGATTATCGGATAAGATTATATTCTCGATCTCCGAGTCTATACCGCATAAGACTTCATCGCCCGAGGTTTGAGAGTGTCTGCTCGTTATCTCCGAGACAGACAGTGGAACTTGTGGATGCGAAACAGCGAAAATAGTCCAATCTGATAAGAGGGGAGAAGGGTTTGATTCTTGGCGAGTAGAGCGAATTGATTGACAATTATTAACATCCTGCGGTGAAGATTCAACAGGCTGCTCTGGGTAGACCAAATTGACACATCAATGGCGGAAATCATCGTAGTGGGACTGTCTCATCAGATAACGGTAGGTAGGATTTGTCGGTCCAAGCCGCCTCACTGCGTTTTCGTTAAATGAATGTCCCGACTGGATAGTCGGTCGTGGTGACTGCATGAAGATGTGAGCATGAACATGATGTGGAGGACCTGCATAACCTTCAATCATACCATCACGGCGTATACGTAGGGAAATATGATCTTGAGACTTCCTCGCTTCCTATGCATGGCTCACTACCTGTTTGGCGTATGTACGTATGTACAAATATCTTTTAGAGCCCAGTATGTCTATTGCGTCCTTACGCTACGAGCCACCCCATGTGCAAGTAATTGGTTTCTTTCGGTCCATAACAAGATTTTACATACTCACAGCTAACACTATCGCATATCCCTTAGATAGGCAGACTTAACATCGTCCGAAAACATTCTATCGATGCAAGAGTCAAGCCATATTTGCGTTCCCCTTCCTCCCCATCATAATACCTCCCTCACTAACACAGCTTGTATCCAGAACGCTCATTCCCAACCTCTTCTCATACGACTGCTTGCTCTTCTCCGCCGAGGTACGCAACATAAACCACCTCAAGTAGGGCAGTGGTCGCAAGAGCTCATCGACACAGTCGATCAGCCAGCCTCCGAGACCATAACCCTGATATTCCGGAAGGATGTACAAGTCGGTCAAATACGCAAATGTGAGATTGTCTGTGGCGAGACGCGCAAACCCAATCTGATCCAAAGCATCTGTAGAACTGGTATTTCCAGAGGTTGCTGAGCCATCCTGGCCGACGGGCTTTGACTGGGTTCTGTATACTCCAAAGCAGAATGAATTGTCGACTATCTGTTTCAGGATGTCCTCAGGATAGCTCCTTGTCCAGTACATGAAGTCGTAGTCGAATGCGGTATTGATGGCTGGTATCGAGAGGAGGGTTTTATCCGTGGATATTATAAACACATCTCTGGTCCAGGTCTGAGGCTCGGTAGGTAATGACATGGTTCAATGAAGAGACGCGACTTTGGATGAGGTAGAGAGTTGAAGCTGTTTAGATGACTATCTAGTATTTGAGCCACTTGTGGCCTGGGTAGTCACTAGCCTTTTGGCGATTAGGTCGTGTTCAGGTCAATAACTCCAAGCGTTACCAAGGAAGAAGCTTGACAACAACGATCACTTTTTATGAGCAAGGAAACTGTCGCATGATATCGGCGGTTCTGAATACGAGGTGAGTCATTGGCTGATTTAGCCTCTTGGCAGTCAATTGCAATATCAACTCGGTGTCGGCGACACAATTCAAGATGGCATCCGGGGGTTATATCAGGCAGCACGATATCACGAAAATGCTCATGGTACGATTTTGGGCTCTCTTCTCAGTAGCTCTATGTTCCAAAGGTACGTTTAGTAGTGTTATCGTCAGCACACGATCGTCCACCCCATCTGACTCAACGTTCGGTGTGAGATGAGAAACGGTAGTGAGTATACGTAATTAGTCTAATATTTGACTCAATCGCAAAACTATTCGTTAACGTTACTACTAGTGTGTGGCAGCAGATTACACTCCACCGATGCAAGAGAATATAACCTTATAGGATCCTAGCATCGAGCGCGGAGAACAAATCATCCCAATCGGTCACAACCCCAGAGCTCCCAAGGTCAATGAAGTCTTGCAACATCCCGTCAACATTCCCAGTTCCTTGGTCGAGGTTATCCGGCGATAGCACGCTCTCCTGCATTTCCGATGTACAGAGATCACTTGTATATGAACCAGAGATATTCCCCGGTGCATCTGGTCGGGTAATCAGGTCTGGCGCAACCTGGATCTGATACTTCTGGAGCATATCGGTCAGTGACCTCAAAAACCGGCCGGCTACTGGGGATGTCGCCTCGGCCTGCTTTAGCACACAACATGCGTCCATGACTTCTTGTCGCTGGCCCTCATTATCGTCATCCTTGTTGATGCATATGTCAATGACAAGGACAGCAATCGCCAGGTAAAAAATAGACAGAAGCGTAGCCAGTCGCACGTGCACCGAAGAAAGAAAGCCCGTGTCCTGCTGCAGAAACTTGTTCATGTTGATGATACTGCGGGCGGATTGAAGACAGACATTCCTAGAGTACTCGTACCGCCGATCAAGAGACATGCGTGCAAGGAACGGCTGGTTCAATTTGAATCGGCGGGAATGAAATGTGCTGGCAATGATGTACCGTTGGAAGATTGTTTGGGGATACCGGCGGTCAATCTCACGACTCTGCTCACGGCTCGTTTCATCGTGTCGGAGAAATAGCGGCATATCGTGCAGGAAGTCATCAAACTTCCTGTCCAACGAGATGACAATGTCGTAGTCTACTGTTCCCCAATCCGGGGGTGAAGATGGCAGCACATCAACTATGCTCCGCGTGATCTCCGCAAGCCTAATTCGTAACATGTAATAACTCATTGTCGTTGGCTCTGATAGAGGGAGATTATACTCTGGGTCGGGATGTTCTAGGTCCACGTCATTGATGTTGCGTGGGTGGTTCACGCGCATGTGTTTTGGGTGGATCAAGTATGTACCTTCCTGGGGACCAGCTGATAAAGCTAGAAGCCTGAATGATCATGTTAGTTGGGTTCTCTCGATGAGCGAGTTATTACAATTCACAATTCTTCAAGAGAACCCGCACCTGATATGGTAGAAGATGGTAACAACGGAGGTATCAGAAAACATGTAAATCAGAAAGAAAGCAACGTGCCAGACCGGTAGATATGTTCACCAAGTGTTTACGGGGCAATATAAGGTTCCAAGGACCAGATATGCCACTCAAAAGAATAGAAAAGAAGGAGGACTCACCAGTCCGTCGAGACCATATGCCACCATACACGTCTTTTAATCTCGAGCTGCACAGGGCTTTCATTCTTTGTACCGGTGTCTGCATCGATCTGGTGAAGTGCCAGGTCCCTTCCCATTACAAGGGCACTACTACTGAGAGTACGAAACCTCGACGAAAATCCCTCAATATTGAAAATAATGAACGATAAGATGATTGTCGCCTGAACGTCTTCCATCGAACCTTGTGTATTGCGGCGGGAATTCTCAAGGGCATCAAGAGCCGTTTTTGTCCAAGTAATGGCACAGTTCATGGCGTGGGTTTGGCTGAGAAAAATTGAGTCAGCGGTGTTTAGCTCTAACATGTATGCAGTACTGGCGAAAACAGTCAAGAGCAGGGTGACATGTCCCGGCTCCACATTGAGGCCGAGCGACAGCTGTTTATATGCATCGTCCAACAGAAGTCGAACGGATGGTAAGTGTAGTACATGGTGGAGATATGCTATGTATTTAGTGTAACGCTCAAGCAACCAGAGAGCTTCATCTTTGGGGGGTAGCCAGACTTTCATTACCGCGCTTGCGGTCGTTGCACCGCTACCTGACGTGTGTCTAGGAGTGATTGCAGGGACTGCTTGCTGAATAGGAGTTATGGTAAAAGATGCCATGTTTGATAAGCCCGAGATCTAGCGGAACATCGGTTACTAAAAGAATGTCGTCGAGGACCCAATAACTACTCACGACTGAGGCCTCACGAGTGCCCACACTCTCGAGCCACCTCGAATCGCCCTCACCCTCGGATATATGAGTCGGAGGGGCCGGAGCTGAGTGACTTCCTGCAACAAACTCCCTTCTGCTTTCATCAACATCACTGTGGCGGAGGACTATGTTTTCTAGTCTCTGCAGGCGGGCTAGAATGTCGTGGTCGGTATGAGTCGGAGAAGAGGGTTGCTGTTGGACCCTCGGTGACGGGATTGGTCCCCCAGCTGCTCTCTCGCAAGTAACTCCACGCGTCACACAATTAGAGCATGGCCGTTCTCTGTTGCATTTGAGTTTCATGGTGCGACAAAGCTGACAGGAGACAGGCACCTGTCGTGGCCGCCGTCGCTGCGTTGTCATTGCTTTGCTTCTAATTTGGTAAACCTGATAGTGTAGATGCAGTGCATAGACTTGGCGTCAGTTTCTACCGGGTACCAGATCTCATTTACCAAGTTGGAGAAAAGTTGACGGCGTCAACAGACCACATCACACGTAATGCAATCAGTCAGCGTAAACCACACCTGGTCTTTCCCGAATAGCACCCAAAGTGGTTTAGTCGCATCATGTGTCCTGGGGGTGCTCAGGCAGCAAGTTTGTCAATGAATCAAAATCGAGGACTATAGGTTATAAGGCAAAAAGACAAAATAAATCAAGGATATTTGCCCTTGTAGTACACTCTCCCCGCAAGTAGGGACCTTTCTATGGATTTTCAGAACCCCCTTCGCCCACACCCGTCTCACCCACCCGCTAGAATATATCTCTCTCTCGGGACAACTAACACACAAACAAGACCGATGGATCTACTATATCAAAACATGAAGCATATTTTGCCTCGATGTAATCTAAACTGCGATAAGGAGGACTGAGAGACGGGTATGCAAAATACAAATACCAAGAGGAATACTGAATTGGTCGTTCTTAAGGAAAGATTTGGATGATGGGGAAAAAGTGGGAGTGAAAAAAGGAAAAATGAGAAGGCCCGAACCGCGGTTTGAACGCGGGACCTCTCGCAGGTTGGAACAGTACAGCCCAAAGCGAGAATCATACCACTAGACCATCCGGGCCATGATTATGTAAATTATACATATTTAAATTAATATTATCACCTTCAACAAGTTTCTTTCCTAACGCTCCAACACGCACAGATCAGAAAAGTAATGCAAATGATCTCAATTTCTTTACGACACAGGCATCGAGTATAGCCTACAACCTTATGGGTAACCAACACTGAAAAATCTTTAGTGCTCCCGGCGATGAGCTTCGGGGGCTAGGGCACTGGAGGACATGGCTTCTCAGACCTGGGTCTGGGGTCTATCCTGAGATACCGGGCCATGGTTGTCACATTACGTACGCTAGGCGGCTTAATTATTTACCTGCAGTTGTCTGTTGCAGTTGAATGAAGAGATCGTACAGAAGTGATGAAGCTGTCTTTTAGAATTACTCGGACCGACAAAAATTACCTCATAGGGCCACTCGAATAGGGCACAAATCAATGGTACAGTTGTTGCCAAAACCGGTTTCACCATCTTTATACACTTCGATTATTTCTGAAAGCCAAGACACGTTAAATTACTTTGGCACATGATCCGAGCGCCCACTTTTTCTGTGTGCTGTATTGTACTGTAAAAGGATGCTCTATAACAATTCTGCATTGTATACTACAGTTTCGGGTATACCGGCGATGTCTTGACAACCGCACCTGCATTTGCCAACTATTTGACTGTGAGTGTGTTAGGTCCAAACTCATGCACCTACGTAGTATGGTACCTAATTTAGCCCAATCAACTCTGGAGTTGATCTACGATATGATAAAAAGCAACGAGCTGACTGTGTCTCAAAGGGCTGATGCCACTGGCTGCAGTAAGCGTACGATCATTAATCTTCGCGCCAATGTGGGCTTATTTGGTAGCGTGAAGGCACCACCAAATCATGGTGGATGGCCAAGGAGTCTTACACCAGTTATGGTTCAAGCTCTATGTGATCATCTCCTTGAAAAACTCACTTGTACATAGATAAGATGGCAGTGTTTTGGTAGAATGAATTTTAAATACAGGCAATAAAATCCAGCATCCGCCGTGTACTTAAGCGTGAGGATTGGTTGAAGTAGATTTCCGAGTAAAAAGTAAAAGGGTGAAATGCCTATTTATGGGACGAAAATTCTTATTGTGTCTCGGACTTCGTTCTTACTATCTTGTTTATGTGGATGAGTCCGGCTGTGACAAACGCATAGGCTTTAGAAGAACAGGCTGGCCTTGTAGCGCCGGTTGAAGTTTCTCAGTACCACTATGACCGGCGCTATCAGATCCTTCCTGCATATGCTCAAGACGGCATTGTACTGTCCCGGGTTTTTAGTGGCTCAACCAACGCGTCTCTCTTTCAGGGCTTCACCGAGCAACTTCTCCATTACTGTAGGAAGTGGCCCGAGCCTAAATCAGTACTGGTTGTGGATAACGCCTAATTTCATCGCTCGGAGAGAATACAGCAGATGTGCATAGGGGTAGAGGTCAAACTGGTATATCTGCATCTTACTCGCCTGACCTCAATCCAATTGAGGAAGTTTTCTTGGAATTGAAGTCCTTTATTCGTCGGCATTAGCAACCCTACGCGGATAACCGTGACCAAGAATTTGATTCTTTTCTTGAATCGTGTGTTGATGTCGTGGGCGGCAGGAAACAAAGTGCAGAGGGACATTTCCGGAATGCAGGCATGGCTATTGATACATTATGGTGTGTATATATTTGTCAAATCCTTAGTAGAGTCCAAGCAACCAAAGGCCAAGCCTTTTTACCTAAAGGAACTTGAAAATAAGTACTATAGATTGTTTCTTGAAAATGCACATCAGTAGATTGGGTAAAAGAAGTAAAACAAGTTAAATGAATATTGAGCTTGTGATATTCCCGTTTCGATTGATGTTGCTGTTTGCATTGATCTAGGATGATGTACCAGTAGGCGGCTAAATGAGGCCAACACCTCAAGTGCTCTTTGGTCAACCGTGTACATACCAAGATGGGGCAAGAACAAAAGCAAATACAATATAATGAAGGAATAATAATTGGTCCGGATTTTGCACTTACCGATGTATATGTGCTGAAAGTACGACATGGATGAATGGATGATATCATCTGCCCCTAACCAATCTTAAAACTGCATTTACTGTCATACGCGCAAGCGCTGAATGCGTGCAAGAAGGTTGATTCGGTTGTGGAACACTAGGCGTCCCGCAGCTAGAAATGGTTCAATACGGCGAACCCTAGATACATCCGGTGCAGATTGTAGGGTTGGTTGGTATGACCATGAACGTAGCAACGGGGACGTTACATTTACTGTATGAAGTCATCAGCAGGAACAGTCACTACAGTGGCGACCGTGGCTATTATAAATTTGACTGTTTTCCCAGACGCTCGTTTCGAACAGGTATTAGAATAAAAACGGAATTCATTGGAAGGTTTAATACTCAGCAGTTCTCTTCCTCTATAAAGAGGGATATCCTAGTGTAGAATGTAAGCCACTTCGGTCAATGACAAAGCTCCAAACATGACTAGTTTGGGATCCAATTGCCAGTTGATTCCCTGCTATGATATAACATCGTGACTGGAATTCTGATGGTAGACGAAGAAGGGGTACCACTCCATAGTAGATCCATTGATTTCTGACATAAAGACTTTGTAATGAGTCGAGCTTAGTGACTTGTTTGTCTTCAAGGATGCTTTCGAGCCAGACAAGGTCAATGTTTGTTACAAGGCATTGGTTATCAGCTGTGAATTTAACGGTGTGGATGGGCTCTGATGTCTTGATTTCCTGCCATGACTGGAACTTGAAATGGCTACCTAAATTGCGTCCAAGATATTTTGATTCTTTCAGGCATTTTGCGGTATCCCAGAGCTTTATAGTCTGATCAAGGGAGTCAGATGCGATCTGTTGACCATCTGGTGAGAAGGCGACCGCTTAGACCGAGCGTGAATGGCCGGTCAGTGTCTAGATCAAAGACGCCCAAGTCTCTTCCATGCGAGGAACCTTTCTTAGCCATTTTGGAAATTTATCTGCATTTTTCTCCTCACAACACTCAATTCAAGACTAAAAATAAGGGCAGAGCTGTAGATCTGTAATAGCCAGTTGGCGAGAACTTAATAGTATCGCAATAAAAACCAAGAAGCATCCTGCACAAACATTGGTGCCGAATAGTTGTCCTTATGATAAGCTTATCCGCAAAGAACCTAGACATCAAGTAAATATTTAATACCGACCTTCGCTGTATTACTAGTGTTCTTAGTGCACTAATGGCCCGTTATAGCCTCTTCAATAGACTCAGACATTCTAGCCATTCCAACAACTTTCTATAGAGGAGGTCACTAACTATACCTTCTTCAGTGCGTCTTCCCTATATTGTTATAATGTTCTCAAAATATTGCACCCAGAAAGTAGCTGTATAGTCTATACTAGCTAATAAAACATTCTGTCGCGCATGTTCCTTTATTTTCGAAGATTCTTTAATTGAATCAGGTTGTGGTAACCCAATAAGATTGACTCTTTAAGACATTTGGATAAATAAGACAGACAATTCTGTACTACTTCCTCATGTTCGCAACATTCATATGAGTTAAGTACAGATCGTCCATTTTTCCCTGTCAAATAGTCTCGAGCAGACTGGTGAACAGACTCGATATTATTTTCCTATATTCTAATTAACGAAGCACATTGGTCAACTAATGCTTCAATACTGTCCCCTTCATCAATTAGACCCGTCACACTACCAACCTCCTCTATTTTCAAAGGTCGATATACCAGTATCATCACCTTGTGTTAGATTAAACAACGTTATTCCCCCAGACTAAAGAACCGCCAAGGCGAAAGAGATCACAGTGAGCGGGATCCGGCAATCTGGCTCGATCCAAGCCCACTCCTCTTTCTTTTCTCTTCATCTAAAGGGGCAAAAAGGGGCAGAGTAATTGTAACAGGTATAGCGTGTTTCGAAAGAGAGTTCGAGAAAGAATCTCTGAGTGTAAATGGTGAAACTGATGTCGATCTATTCTGTAGCATTATAGGAGATCTCCTCAACACAAGTCTGCTCTTACTATGGCTGTCTAAGGCGTATATAGCCTAACTTTATCCCTATATACTTGGACGCTAGATTATGGGAGTGGTAGCATACCAATAAATTGATTAGCCTCTTCGGCGGGACTGATCCAGCTGACGCGTCTATCAGTGTATATCTCCGCCTTAGGCTTGTGCTCGTTCAGAATTCCGATATCATCCAGTATTCCGGCCCGGAGGATTACTGTCTCGTCAGGAGTCCCAGTAGACTTCATTTTCAGTCCATAGAGCGGCGTTCCTACGGGTATCGTCAGTGAATGTCTTACCAAACTCGTTTTATAGTACACACCACAATCTGAACAGAAATAATTCTTAATATGATTTCCACTGTCCGATGTTTTGGCCACTTCTTTAGGACTGCCAATGATTTTCAGATCGGCACTTTTGACGACAAAATTATACGTGTAGAGAGTGCCGGTAAGTTTGCGACAATCGAAACAGTGGCAAAGTGCCTATTGAAAGAAAGTATGATATTCAGTCAATGAAAACAATCCGTACCTCGGACATACACTAACCGACGTTATAGGCTGGCCACTATATTGGATCCGAACCTTTCCGCAAAAACAACCGCCAACAGCCATTTTCAAAGAGCAAGTGTCCGGTGTTATGATACTACAAAAGGAAAAGGGGTCTTATGAAGAGAAATCCAAAGGTGTCTCCCCTGAAGTCGGTCCGGACGAACTTTTGCCCGGAGTACAACATCAGGACTAGAACCGCTGACAAAAAACGGTTAATGAGTGTGTTGGCCCCAACATAAGAGTGTTGAGTGTTGGGTATGGATATTCAGGCAGGATTTTGGCGGGGTAGGGAGCCATGATTGTTTCTGACTTGTATCAAGTTCTTGCTGGCCTTGTTGAACGCCCGGTTGCTGCACTTAGCTGCGCCAGCCATTTGAGTTGTGGTTCGTCACTCACTTTGTCTCTTATCACGAACCAAGTGTGGCTGTGGCCGGGAGAGGATAGTCTTGTTGCCA